AAGAAGCCACCTGACTGGTCAGTTGTTAATGTTTATGTCTTGATTTACTGACAAAACACTGACATAAAAGCACCAGGATCATGTAGAGTGGGCTAAAAAAAATGACCATGGCAACATTTTGGGAAAACGTTACAAAGACAATGTCTAAATGAATAGGAGTACCTCGCACTCAGAGGTTTCTTTTGCTATACAACATGTCCAAACCAAATCCTTTAATAATAATTTAATAATAATTGAAATCAATCAATGACCCTCATATATCACTAGCAGGTCTTACAGCTGCCAAAAAAATGCTAATATGCTGTTGGAAATCAGTTCAACCTCTGACTGAGAGAGAATGGCTCTTATCTTACAGAGAAATGATTCAGCTGGAGTTTTCTGCTGCTCGAACACATGGAGCAAAAGCCAAAAACATGTCTCGCTGGTCTGATCTACTGATGTGATTTGGGAGTAGTTGTTACTTGGAGACCTTTTATTATAGTATAATCAGAGGTGGGACCAAGTCTGAGTCAAGTCCCAAGTCAAAGACAGGCAAGTCCAAGTCCAGTCTCGAGTCACTGGCCCATAAGTCCAAGTCAAGTCCAAGTCGTCTGCTTCGAGCTTCAAGTCATTTTGAGTCTTTAAATTAAAATACCAAATATAGTTTAGATTTTAGCAATTTATATGAATTTAAACTAAATTGTTCTTAAAAAAGTCATGGTATATTTATATATGAGTATTTATATAGAAGTAGAAATGTAATTTTTTCCTTTTTAAATGTCTTGACAAGTTCTTAGTGTGAATCATTATGGTCAGAATAGGAAGAATTCAGATTTCAGTGTTTAATAACAGATATTTTGTCATGTATTTTGCGCTGAAATGGAAGGATCATGTTCTCTATAGTTCTGTGTTACTGTATTATACTGTGTATTACTGTAGTATATTTGATGATACCATATCACAGTACTACAGTTACATCCAGAGTAACAGAGAAGTAGGAGGGGCATGTTCCAGTTTGTTCCTTTAAAATTCAGCACTGCATGTATTAACTGTGAAGAGAAAAGTATTTTCTAAAAACATGTATATGTTTTTTAGGAGAAGCATCAAGTCTTCTTAAGTCACAGGCCTCAAGACCAAGTCCCAAGTCATTGACCTTCAAGTCCAAGTTGAGTCCCAAGTCTTACTCCATTTTATCAAGTCTCAAGTCCTACAAATAGTGACTCAAGTCTGACTCGAGTCCAAGTCACGACTTACAAGTCCCCAGTAGTATATGTTCACAGAATGTACACAATATGTATACTCTTAATATATATTTTTTATTTTATTGTTATTATTATATATATATATTTTTTATGTATGGTACATAATAACTATGTATAATGCAATTTCTGCTGATGTCTTTTAATGGAGGAAGTGCCAACTGGAACATGTATAACTGCAAATGATAACACTAGAACAACAAATTTTATCACCAAATGATAATAATGAATAAATAAATAAAAAGATAAATAAATAAATAAATAGATAAATAGATAGATAAATAAATAAATGAGGTCAGACTAGAAAGTGAATTGAAGCCAGATTCTGATGGAGCCATATTCAGTTTCTCTTTGAAACACGGCAGCATGCGGGTGAGTTACGTCCATCTACAGTCGGTACCCTGACACTACCCTGACACTACCCTGACACTACCCTGACACTACCCTGACACTACCCTGACACTACCCTGACACTGCTACCCTGACACTACCCTGACACTACCCTGACACTACCCTGACACTACCCTGACAGTGCCCTGACAGTACCCTGACACTACCCTGACCCTGACTACCCTGACACTACCTGACTGACCCTGACAGCCCTGCCCTGACACTACCCTGACACTACCCCTACCCTACTGACACTACCCTGACACTACCCTGACACTACCCTGACAGTGCCCTGACACTACCCTGACACTACCCTGACACTACCCTGACACTACCCTGACACTACCCTGACACTACCCTGACACTACCCTGACTACCCTGACAGTACCCTGACACTACCCTGACACCCTGACACTACCCTGACACTACCCTGACACTACCCTGACCCTGACTACCCTGACACTACCCTGACACTACCCTGACACTACCCTGACACTACCCTGACACTACTGACTACCCTGACACTACCCTGACACTACCCTGACACTACCCTGACAGTACCCTGACACTACCCTGACACTACCCTGACACTACCCTGACACTACCCTGACACTACCCTGACAGTACCCTGACACCCTGACACTACCCTGACTACCCTGACACCCTGACACTACCCTGACACTACCCTGACAGTCCCTGACACTACCCTGACACTACCCTGACACCCTGACACTACCCTGACATACCCTGACACTACCCTGACACCCTGACACTACCCTGACACTACCCTGACACTACCCTGACAGTACCCTGACAGTACCCTGACACTACCCTGACGCTACCCTGACACTACCCTGACACTACCCTGACAGTCCTCCCCGGCTGCTCCCGCCCGTCTCTCCCAGGATTCCTCCAGGATTCCCAGCATTCTTGCGAGGTGCGGTGAGAGCCGTGGGAGTGGGGCAGGCGGTGTGAGCGGATTAGAGTTCTTTTTTTTTTTTTTTTAGATAAAACTGCCTGAACTGAGCGGTACAACCTGGGAAAATATGTGACCTTGCCATTCGAGCCTTCGTCAGCGCTCGCAGATATGTGATGGAATGTGGTGACATCATCTACCAGCGTGTCTTCCTCCCACCAAATGAAAACTTCTGAATGATAGTACAGTACTCAAAATACTGTCTAGAAACAGAAAGCTGAAACTCAAGAGCTACTTATTCATATAAATGCACTTTTGTTTTTCAGATTTACACCAATTCAGCAATGCACAACAATCCTCCTTCACTTCCTTTTTCCTCTGGTCTTCAGAAAAAAAGTTGCAGATTACAGTAACTTCCAAATAATACTCTTGTTCAAATCAAATAAAGCTTCACTGATCATTTCTATTAAAACACATGATACAATTCATAAGCTGATTCATTCTCAGCTACAAAAACATTAGACATGATGATGCAAATGTATTTATAATCTGTGTTTGGATCAGACTGAGCTTCACATGAGTCTTTCATTTGGGTTGCCAGTTTTAATCCTGAAGTTCATTTGGTTTAAACCTAAAATGTTTCTACTTGCACCAGTTTTGAGTCAGTGCTAGTGCAGCCTCTGAGCTTTCACATGATCATCTGACCCCTCTGTGTCTGTCTGACCTTCTCGTCCCTCACACCCCCTGTCGTGCTCCCAGGGCCGCAGGTCAGGCTCTCTTCCGTGCAGTGTTGGGGAGTAACAGATTACATGTACTGAGGTTACGTAATCAGAGTACAAATTATGAGTAACTGTATTCAGTTACAGTTACTGTTTCAATGAGGTAATTGGATTACAGTTACTTTGTTGAAATAAATGGATTACACGGCTGTATTTTCCTGTTTTCACGTTATTTTTTATTTTTATTTTTTTCAATAATTCCACTCATTGCTGCAAACTAAACCAGGTCTAAACCAGGACTAAAACCAGGTCTAAACTAGATCTAAACCAGGACTATACCAGGACTAAAACCAGGTCTAAACTAGATCTAAACTAGATCTAAACCAGGTTTAAACCAGCACTAAACCAAGACTAAAACCAGGTCTAAACTAGATCTAAACCAGGACTATATTAGGACTAAAACCAGGTCTAAACTAGATCTAAACCAGGTCTAAACCAGGACTAAAACCAGGTCTAAACTAGATCTAAACCAGATCTAAACCAGGCCTAAACCAGGACTAAAACCAGATCCTAACTAGATCTAAACTTGATCTAAACTAGATCTAAACTTGATCTAAACCAGATCTAAACCAGGACTAAACCAGGACTAAAACCAAGTCTAAACTAGATCTAAACCAGGACTAAAACAGGATTTAACAGGATTTAACAGGACTAAATCATGCTGCGTGGACATGTCTCCTCTTCTATCAATAATATTTTTAATATGGTTAAGTATCCTGGTCTTTGCTTCTCTACAGCAAATCAAGTAATCCAAAGTATTACATTACTCAGTTTAAGTAATTTATTGGATTACGTTACAAACTACATTTTGGGGTATGTAATCTGTAATCTGTAGGGGAATACATTTTAAAAGTTACCTTCCCAACACTGCTTCTGTGCCCCAATGACCAGGAGAAAACAGAGAGGGGATCGAGCATTTGCAGCGGCGGCTCTGAGGTTGTGGAATCAGCTCGATCTGTGCTCTCACACTTTTACTCTTCGGCTTTTAACACAGTTTGAGGGTCGACTTTTTACCTGTATTTGTACTGTGTTATATTTACTTTCAACTGTCACTATATTTGTCACTGCTGTTGTTGTGTTGTTTTTAAAGTGCTCTAGAAATAAAGTTGAGATGAGACATGAGTTCTGTCCATAAACTGTGAATGAGACACACTTGGATGTGTCTCTGTCTGCAGGTTCAGACTCTGGAGACACAGGTTCAGATGTTATTGTCGTACATTCTTTTTAAAACAGTAAAAAGCAGCAGCTACAGTTCCTTTAGTCATTGAATGTACTTCAGTCCACGTAAGCTGCGTGTGTGTGTGTATGTTGTGTGCGTGCTGTTACCTGTACGATCTTGTCATTGGGTCTGAGTCCGGACTTCTGAGCGGGAGAGTCGTCGTCCACAGCTCGGATGAACTGTCCCGGTCTGGACTTCTCACTGTGGAGGTTGAAGCCGTATCCGCCCGTTCCCTTCTTCAGGTAGCACAGACGGGGCCTCGGTCCGCTCTTCTCCTCCTGCAGCACAACAACAGAACACGACTGAAACCTTTCATCAACATTCACTGGGGGGTGAAGTGAACTGGAGGCACTGTGGACTGATATCAGACTTTTATCTGAGCTTTGTTTTAACATAATCTCCCCATAAAGAGCTCGTACTGATCACATGCTCCTGAAAATGTGCTCTTTAAGGCCATTTGGTATTGTGTCTTCAGACTATCTGAAAATTTATCTGTCAGTTTTTTTGTGCATTATCTCTTGGTCTATCAATACTATCTCGACTTATCATTCAATACATGAAAGCTGGAACTAAATACTGTGTTTACACTGATATTACCATGTCAGAATGTGTCAGAAAAAGTTTATTTTGACATAAAAAATACATATATTTTTACAGAACTTCAATTTAAAGATGGAAAGTGCTTAATATGCTAAGTTTTATATAATTTTAAAGTGTTTTACTCTTTTTATGAAAAAAATAAATAAAAATAAAAAAAGTACCAGAGTTGAGAGTTAATGCTGTATTAGGGCCAATTGTAAAATTGTAAAAAAAAAAAAAAAAAAAAAAAAAAAAAAAGTCATGGCCTACAGTTTATTTGTAGTTTTCAGTTTTTGTTTTCATCATTTTCCATAATATAAGTTATTTTAAATTTAATTAAATTTGAACAATATGTACATCGCATCGATTACATTTTTAAGACATCCTGGGCTTTTAGTGCAAACAAATAATTTTTATCAAAGTATTTTTTCAAGGGGCATATATGAAATGATAAATATACACTTTAATATACCTGAAAATATTATTATTACTTATATTACTTATTATTATTATTGCCATCATATTTTCATTTGTTGAGCATTTGAAAACTGCAAAACATCACTGACCTGTAGTTTTTTGTAATAATGTAAGATAAAGGGAAGAATAAATAACTATCTATGGCTAATTGCTGGTTAATTCTATTATTTATTTGTTGCAGCTCATGTTTTTACTGTACATTTAACAGCAGTTTACATGTATAATCCTGCTTTATTATTATTGTGTCAGTGGCATAAAGTAGTTTCACTGTTACCATTTATCATCTACATTTTCTTCCGCGGTAGATCACACTTCAAACTGTGACCGGCCTAAACACCGCGGTAATGATCCTACATCAATATTTGGAGATATGTTAGATATTTCAGTCATTTTCAGTCGTTTTTATACACTGTGGCATTTAACTTATGTGATCCTGCTCACAGTAAGAGCGCAGGGTTTTCAAACTCTGATAAATTACTGCCATACTGTGGAACATTCTGGGCCAAGAACAATAACAATAACATCTCCATAGAAACAAGCAGCTGGCTGACCGGAAAAGTTACACAGTGCCCAGACTCTGCCAAGACCAACATAAGGTTCAATCAGAAATAATACAGGACTTCTACATTTGTGAAGAGACAGCACATTTTCAGTGAAGCTCTGAGAGAAAAACTGTGAGTTAGCAGGAAGACTTTAAATTGAGCCTGACTAGCAAAAAAAACAAACAAAAAAAAACATTTCTTGGGAATAATTGCTGACAGTGCTCAAACACAGAAGCCGTGTATTTAAGCAAAATGCCTTGGCCTGACATATTGTATAAGCGGCTCTTTAGGTCAGCCACAAAGGATTTGAATGTCCGATAATCAGGAAGTGAGTGGTTAGCATGCTAGTTGTTATGTGTCACTGTAAAACTCCGCTCAGATCTCGGAGAGTTGTGAAAAACCACTTATAAACTCATCATGGTGAATAACTAAAATGCTCGGGATTAGGGATGTAACGATATCCAATTCTCTCGATACGATATTTTCACAATATCACTGTTGGGCAATTTACTTCAAAACTGTAATGTGTTATTTATTTATTTATTTATTGTTACATTATAATATTACTGTATTTAAAATGTAAAACATTACATTACTATTACAGCACTTTTAAGTTACTCTATTTTACACCAAAATAACTGTGAAGATGCTGAACTTTTGCACCAGATATGGACTAAACTAGGACTAAACCAAAACTGAACCAGAGCTGAACTTGGACTAAACCAGAACTAAAACAAAGATGAACCAGGATTAAACCAGGACTAAACCAGGACTAATCTTAGACTAGAACTTGGAATCTAGAACCGCCCCTGAGAGAACCCTGCACCCATGGAAGAGAGAGTCTGCAAGGCGTGATCGGGCGTCAGCTGTGGTTAGCCACGTGGAGCATGGAGTTCTGCGTCGGTCCTTTTGCCTGCGGTCACCTGACGGTCTACACAGGTGCACCTCCAGCGTTTCACCGCTGCTGATATCGCTGTGATTTTAGTGAATTTGAAAAACAAAAAACCCACCACTTCAATCCAGGTTAAAAAAGCATTGTAACAGGCCTTATTGACATTTGTACTGAGTAAAATATTACTATTTTTCCCCTGTAATGCCGTAACATTACAGCATTACAGCAAAACACAATGCACAGTAATTTGTTACATTTATAACGCGTTACTCCCAACACTGCACAACGTGCATCTCAGGGTACGACATTTATTGCAATATTTTATTGTAGGGTATCAAAATTGTGAATATGCTGCTTTTCTCTCATCATAATCCAAATAATTTCTATTGAAAAGTGCTTGATAAGCCTTATTTCAGCATATAGATTGGACTGAAACAGAGCAAAGGATCATGGTCTATGTAGTTCCCTCTGTTTTTTTTTTAAGAATTTAAGCAAATAAACTTGTGATTCGATATATTGTGATGTCCACGATATTATTGTGAGACATTTGACGATACAATATCACGATATTTCAGTTATTGTTACATCTCTACTCAGAATGCATGAGGTAAGTGAGGAAGAACTTTGATTGGTTGGACGTTATATCGAGCGATCAGTGTTGGGGAGTAACAGATTACATGTACCGGCATTACGTAATCAGAGTACAAATTATGAGTAACTGTATTCAGTTACAGTTACTGTTTCAATGAGTGGTAATTGGATTACAGTTACTTTGTTAAAATAAATGGATTACATGGTGGTATTTTCCTGTTTTTACATTTTGGGCTAAACCAGGACTAAAACCAGAACTAAACCAGGACTAAAACCAGGACTAAAACCAGGACTAAACCAGGGCTAAAACCAGGACTAAACCAGGGCTAAAACCAGGACTAAACAGTATGACACCTAACAGTAGGTGGACATAATTTAAGGCAGCAGTGATCTCATGTACAAATCATTTCTCGATCAATAATATTGTTTAATGGTTAAGGAAAGTCTGGGCTTTTTATTGTCTTTAAGCAAAACATCTTATGTTAAGATCCTGGTCTTTGCTACTCTACAGGAAACAGTTGCATGTTCATGGAGACTTGGGCTCAACAGCCAGTTTGAAGACAACAAACATGAATTTTCAGGATGTGGTTGGTACATTCATGTAGTTAAAAAAAAAACATGACAGTATCAAGTAATCCAAAGTATTCCTTAACTAATTTAATGGATTCCATTACAAACTACATTTAGGGGTATACAATCTGTAATCTGTAGGGAAATACATTTTAAAAGTCACCTTCCCAACCAGCGATATCTGCACTCTTTAATGAACTGCTGTTATTTGGCTTATTTGAACCTTTACCACTACAACCTTTTGTCCCATCATGCCTTGGGCTTCAGTCATTAAACAGTAAATGTTCATAGTCTTAAATCCCTGAGTCAGCTGCTTGTGTCAATGATTCCATGATGAGAGCGTTTGCTCAGCGTTGGCTCGAGGCACACGCCCTCAGAGCAGGACACAGCAGGACACTATCAGAGTCTGGAGGAGGCTCTGTGGATCATTCACATATACAGCTGATAGAGGGGGAGGGGCCACGGTCACCAACCCCTGATCTCATCTTTGGACACATATAAAAGTGAAGGTGGGTCACAAAGTCCTGCGCTGGTGTTAGAATCTCAAAATACGTGACTGCATTTTCTGTGTGGGTATTAGGGCGGGTATCATTAAGAAGTTGTCGACACAATACATACCTCGATCCATAAGCCATGATACGATACATGTCTAGATACTAGGGATGTAACAATAACCAAAATATCATGATATTGCATCATCAAAAGTCTCATAATAATGTCATGGTCTGTCACAATATATCACATCACAAGGTTTTATAGTAGTAACAGCTTATAAACATAGAGAACTACATATCCCATGATTCATTTCAGTGCAGACAACATGAAGAGATATGATTTTTACTTGAATTCTTGGGATTATGGCTGTAACAATTCACACTATTCATATACACCTATTATATTAACCTCTTGAAAATATCAATATAAATATCGTATCGTGAGATGCATATTATGATCGTATCGTACCATGACACCCCTACTAGATACAGTGCATTTACGATTCGATGCAGGTATTTCAAATCGATTGGATACTGTTCAATGAAAATAAAGTCTAAATCATGACTGTGATACTAAAGTGTTTGTTAAATGAAACACAAACATTTTAATCACCAAAACAGTGAAAATGTCAAATGTGTCGCATAAGTTTCCTACTTCTAAACAAGTGACAAAACTGTAGCTGTAACAAAATCATTTAGTAAAATAAACCAAAAAATACTCTTGGCGATATATCGATACAGCAGCCCATCACATCCCATTAAACAATACGATATATCAATATTTTTGCACACCCCTAATGGGTATGCAAAAATATCGATATATCATGATATTAAATTTGGTGATACAGTGTGGTTTTTGGTATCTTTTACTAAATGCTTTTCTAATTATTATTTTCAGTGCTATAGTTTTGATGTTTGTTTATTCAATACACTCGACTTATTGATTGTTTTCATGGTTACACCTGGTTTATTCCATACTGAATTTGCACAGGTCGTGGTTTAACAAATAAATACTGTTGTTAAAATGTATTTGGTTCTTAAAAATAATGACATATTGCAGAATATCAGGTGCAATATATATATTTTTACATATCGCCTTATCATGAAAATATTGTATTGAATTGTACTGTATC